ACTAAATATAGCAAAAATCACAATCCTACTTGTTTAGCAATCTACTTGTTTAACATAATCCCAATATGGATAACAAATTTATTTTTCAATGAGATTGAAAAGGCAATTCTAAAATTTGTCGGGAAATAAAACCAATTCTAAAAAACAAGAATGATGTGAGAGGCAAGCCACTCCCTGATCTCACAACCTACTGTACAGCTGTAATAACTAAAACTGCATGGTACTGGTATAAAGACAGGCACATAGATGAATAGAGCAGAATCTTTCTATGGTCAACTGACATTCCTCAAGGAAATAAAATCTATCAAATGGGGAAATGACAACCTCTTCAACAAATGATGCTGGCAAAACTGGACTGTTAGCTGCAAAAATCTGAAGCAAGATCCACCCCTCTCACCATACACAAAAATCAACTCAAAATGGATCAGAGGCCTATGCATAAAGCCCAAAACCAGAGAAAATTTGAGACCAGTCTTAGAAGTCCATTATGCTGAGTGAACTGACTCATAGGAATATTATTGTAAAAACAGAAGGATAAATGATAAAACATATATGGGGATCCAAGGAGGGAAGGGATGGCAACAGAGGGGTGAGAGTGGGCAGGGGAGAAATCATAGGGCCACACAATTGGTGGGCGGAAGGAGGAGAATTAAAAGAAATTGGAAGACCCTATGTGGATCTGGAAAGACAGGGTAATAAAGGGCCTTGTTTAGAGGTGATTGATTTTATAAAACATACTGGGTCAATTGGCAGCATCAGTATGGATGGTGAAGAGATTGAGATAGTTAATAGTTTTCGTTTACTTGGTTCCACAGTCAACACTCTTGGTAACGGCAGCCAGGAAATCGAGAGACCAATTGCATTGGGAAAGTCAGCTGTGAAGGACCTCTTAAGAGTACTGAAGAGCAACAATGTCACGCTGGAGACTAAGGTGTACCTGATCCAGGCTATAGTCTTCGCAATTACCTGCTATGAATTGGAGAGTTGGACAGTGAAGAGGGATGATAGAGAATTGATGCCTTTGAACTGTGGCGCTGGAGAAGTGTTGAATATACCAAGTTCCAAGACATATAGAACTGCAACCCAAGCCGATATATGCTCACCCATGTTTATTGCTATGTTGTTCACAATAGTAAAGAGTTGTAAACAACTCAAGTGTCCATCAATAAATAAATGGCTAGAGAAGCTGTGGTATATTCACACAATGGAATACTATTCTGCATTGAAAAACAAGGAACTCATGAGATATACAAAATGGGTGACTGGAGGGCATTATGCTGAGTGAAATATCTCAGTCATAAAAGGACAAATACTGCATAGTGCCACTGTTGTACAGCGGGACTAACATTGGAGTTGGGGGGAAACTAAAAGGGGCTAAATAATGTATACTGCATTAAAACAGATGAGGGATAGAACTGTTTTGGAAGAATATATGATTAGGTATTACTGTAATGACAAGAGTCCAACATGAAAGCTGCACAGTGGAGTGGACTGGGGGTGAGAATTGTCTAACAATGAAAGAACTTTTTTTTACTTCTCAAAGAGAAAAGTGAACTGGGAGGTAGGGATGGGCAGGCAGGAAAGTGTGCAATTATGACTGAATGGAAATCCAAAGTTTCTGTAAACTTCCATTAAAATAAATTTTTTGAAAAAAAGTTTTAAAAAGAAGGGGAAAAAGACATATAGAAATGAAAAAAAAAGCCAAGTTTAGAAGAGACTGTGACATCGGAGACATTATCGCCAACATCAGGTGGCTCTTGGATGAAAGGAGAGTACCAGAGGAATGTCTGTCTGTGTTTCATTGACTATGCAAAAGCATTTGACTGTGTAGATCATAACAAATTGTGGCTAACTTTGAGAATAATGGGAATCTCAGAACACTTGATTGTACCCAGGCAAAGCCTATAGTTGGACCAGATAGAACAGAGCAAGGAAACACTGCAAGGTTCAAAATCAGAAAAGAAGTATGTCAAGGACACATCCTGTCTCCATACCTTTTAACTCTCTATGTGAAATAGATCATTCATGAAGCTGGACTTATTTTCTCTCTCTTTTAATTATTCATTATGGCACGTTTTCTTCTCCCAACCTCCACCTCGAGGTTGGACTTTCTGAGGAGAAATGTGGCATCAGGATTGGAGGAAAACTCATCAATAACCTAGGTCATGCGGATAACACAACCCTGCTGGCAGAAACTAAGGAGGATCTGAAGCATTTGTCGCAGAAGGTCAAAGTCTGCAGTCTTCAGTATGGAATGAAGCTCAGCATCAAGACAAAGATCTCATTACTGAGCCAATTGACAGCACCATGATAGATGGAGAAGAGATTGAGGTTGTTGATAATTTCTGCTTGCTCAACTTTATAATAAAAACTCTTGGCACCAGCAGTTAAAAAATAAAAAGATTACTTTCTCTGGGGAAAGCTGCTGCCAGGGACCTCTGAAAAGTACTGAAGAGCAACAATATCAGTCTGGAAACTAAGGTACACCTAAGCCAGACATGGTCTTCAAAATTAGTTGCTATGTGTCAGAGAGCTGGACAATGCTCAAAGAGGACAGAAGAATTGATGCCTTTGAGTTGTAGTGCTGGAGAAGAGTATTGAACATGCCAAGGACTGCTAAGAGAATAAACATGTTTATCCTGGGGAGGATTAAAATGGGATGCTCCTTGGAGGCAAGGATTTTGAAGCTCTGTCTCACCTACTTTGGGCATGTTGCCAGGAGGAACCAGTCCTTGGAGAAGGACATCATGCTTGGAAAGGCAGAGAGCACAGAAGAGGAAAACCTTGGATGAGATGGATTAACACAATAACCATGATAATGGAGATAGGTGTGTCAGAGACAGTGAGATTGGCTTAGGATAGAGCAGAGTGCATAGCTATTTTATGTAGGCTTGCTATGAGTCACAGGCAACTTGATGGCATATAACAACTATTTTATGCATATGTCACACAAGAAAAAGTAAAATTTGTCTCTATTTGCTATGTTCTTCATTATTTTTTGTTCTTCTAAATGGCAAAAGATAATTTATGTACTTCTTGCAATGACTTGTCCTGTTTATCTAAAACATACAAATTTACTTATATAAGTAAAGATAAGTTTCCTTAAAGGAGAAAGACCTAGCCATATTTTTGAGGCCATAACCTATTACAATGTCTCTTTTTATTTTTGAAATGTAAATTTAATGTCGTAAATTGATTTCATCTTGCTTAGATCCACAATCAAAACTATCAATAACAACAGTCAAGAAGTCAAAAGACATATCATATCAAAAGGCACTGAGAAAGTCTCCTGTCAGGAACATTTCCAAACTACTGAAAAGCAATGATGTCAGCTTAAAGACTAAAGTGCACCTGATTCAAGCGACGGTCTTTTCAATTCCCTGCTATGCATCTGAGAACTGAACCATGAATAAGGATGACAGAAGAAGATTGAGACCTTTGAGCTATGGTTTTGGAGAAGAGTGCTGAGTGTACCATGAACTGCCAAAAGAACAAACAGATATGTCTTGGAGAAAGTGCACCCAGAGTCCTCCTTAGAGGCAAGGATGGTGAAGCTTCATCCCACATACTCTGAGCATGTTGTTAAGAGAGATTACTCCTTGGAAAAGGACATTGTACTTGGAAAGGTGGATGACCATCAAGGAAATGAAATGACACCCTGACTGTAGCAATGGAATCAAATGCATCAGAGATGATAAGAATGGCATAGGATAGGACAGGGTTCAGATTTATTGTTCATAGGATCACTATGAGTCATACCTGACTCAACAGCACCTAAGAACAATACAGGGGATTTTTTTAAGCTTTGTTTTGTTGTAGATAAGGTAACTATGAATCAGAGATAACTCATTAGCACCTAACAATATATAGCTACTATCAAGCAAACCCTAGATTATACTAGTAAGACATGTTGTTGTTGTTGTTGTTGTTGTTGTTGTTGTTGTTAGGTGCCGTTGAGTCGTAGATGACTCATAGTGACCCTATGAACGAAAGGCCTGAGCACCGTTCGTACATAGAGTTTCCAGAGGCAAGCCATTTCGGAAGTGGATGCTGCTCCTGCTTCCAGGCTTGTTTTAGTCGGGATGCTCCAGCAAACACTGTCCGCCATGGGTAACCATTACCACGTTTAGCACATCATGCCTTTTCTAAGTATTTCATGTCCTAGCAATCACAATGGTTTCCTTCTAAAAGTCCACAAAACTTCAGATAAATCTTATGTGCATAACATGATTCAAATTTCAGATTAAATTTTTAAAACTTTAGACATATTAAACTGTGCTGCAATCCCAAAGGCACATGATTCAAGTCTAACAGCTGCTCTGTGGAAGAAAGATGGTCACTCACCTCCTGAGCTACTTATTGCCTTTTGAAAATCTGCAGGAAGATCAGCTATGGGTCGATTCTGACTTGACAGCACACAGCAACAACAATAACGAAATTCAAGTGTAAAATAAATTGACCCTGCAAGAATGACTAAGCAAAATATTTGGATTTGCATTACTCAAAAAATATGTTGGCTAGTTCAAGGTTCTGATCTATTGTCCATAGGGTTTTAGTAGTCATAGTCATAGAAAAAAAATGAATTAATAGTTTTATTTCATAGGGATCTTGTGTTAAACTAAGGGGGGAAATGATGCCAAGACCCACGTTGACCTCTAAAGAATGCCCAGCTCATTAACTTTGAAAAGTGGTTCCTTCCTTGCTAGATCTCCTCTAGAGTCAGCACAAAGTGAAAAAAACCCTTCATCTAGATCTGAAACCCTGATTTAGGATTTCTAATCTCTTAAGCTGTGCAAGAAAGAATAAATAAATTTCTGTTTGTTAAAGTTGTCCACATGCGATATTTTTGCTGTAGCAGCACTAGATGACTTAGACACCAAGCAAAGTGTTGAGCCCCTACAAAAAATAACGGTATAAACTGGGGTCCTATCTGTATATATTCTCCTAGTGTATATAACACTTTTGAGTTTTCAGTAGAGTTTACTTTTGTTCAAATACAGCACAGTATTGCAATGCAGAATGGGAAACTGGATGGAAGCAATTTAGAAGGTGGCTCAGGCCCACAGCAAGCCCCAACGACTCCTCCCAACACCCCAGATCCACGAAGCCCCCCGAATCCAGAGAACATAGCACCAGGTAACTACAAAAACAATACCATTTCTGTATACCTAAAGATATGGCTCAAGTCATTTGAAGTCTTTATTAATTTCTATTTAGATGATTCAGTTTTTCAATAAAAAATTACTTTTCAATAATTTCAAGATGAATGTAAATATTAAGACTTATTGAGGACATGTATAATATTTATACTAGTCTTATGTTCTCTCTGATCCTTGGTATTTGTTGGTAATCAGCTCTTATGTTTAAAATTGAGTCATTTGCAATTATATTGAATTATACTTACTAGAGCTTTATACTTGTTTGGACAAGAATTATCTTCTTTACATTTACAGAAACTTTGTGACATAGTTATTAAAATCCTTATTTTACAAACAAAGAAGCTGAGGTTATTAATGTCTATGAGATCATATTGATTAAGAATCAAATGCTGGTCTTCAGATATTCTATTCAAGATACTTCCTGTGAACGAAATGTGGAAATTGCTTCAGTTAGTGTCTCTTTACCTGACAATTTAAGATGCTCTGTTGTTATGTGCCTTCAAGTCAACCACCCGTAGAAACCCTTTGAACAATGTCTCTGAAGCTTGCCCTCTTCTGAACAAATGTCACCATCTCTAACCCACCTGACCCATTTGCCACAGTCACTGTGCCAATCCCTTTTATCCAAATCTTCCTCTTCTGTGCTTACCCTCTACCTTTCCAAGTATGATGTCTTCTCCAAGGACTGATTCCTCTTGGTGACATGCTATGTGAGATGGAATTTCAAAATCCTTGCCTCCAAAGAGAAAATTGTCAGTAATACAAACTAGATTTAGAAGAGGTTGTGGCACTAGGGATCTCATTGCTGATGTCGGATGGATTATGGTTGAAAGCAGAGAGTACCAGAAGTATGTCTATTTGTATTTTATCAACTATACAAAGGCATTTGACTATTATGATACAACAAATTGTGGCTAGCATGGAGAAGAATAGGCATCCCAGAAAACCTAATATTACTTGTGTAAAACCTAGACCTAGACCAAGAAACATCATCAAAGCAGAGCAAGTAAACACTGAATGATTCAAAATCAAGAAAGGACTGTATCAATGATGTATCTTTTCTCCATACCTTTTCAATCAATATACAGAAGAGATCATTGGGGAGGCTGGACTTTATAAAGAAGAATGTGGCATCAGGATTGGAGGGAGATGCATTACTAATGTGTTATGCAGATGGCACAACCGTGTTTGCTGAAAGAAAAATTTGAAGCACTTGTTGCAGAAGATCAAGGAATGCAGCCTTCAGTGTGGATTGCATCTCAATATTGAGAAAGCAAAGATTCTTACCACTCGAATGATGGGCAACATCATGGATGGAAAATAGATTGAAATTGTCCACAACTTCATCTTGCTTGGATTCACTATTAATAACATTGGTACCAGGAGTCAGGAAATAAGGAGATGTAGTGCATTGGGAAAGTCTGCAATTAGGGACCTCCCAAAATTATTGAGGAATAGTGATGTCAGTTTGAAGACTAAGGTTTCAGGCCATGGTCTTTCTAATCACATGCTATGGATTTGAAGGCTGGACAATGAATATGGAGACAGGAGAAGAATTGATGCCTTTGAGTTTTGTTGTGGAGGAGAACACTGAATATCCCTAGGACAGCCAAAAGAACAAGCAAATATATCTTGGAGAGGGTGTAGCCAGAATGCTCTTTGAAAGCAGGAATGATGAGGCTTCACCTCACATACTTTGGGCATGTTGCTAGGAGGGGCTTTTCCTTGGAAAGGGACATGATGTTGGGAAGGGTGGAGGGTCGGCGAAGGAAAGAAAGACACTCTAGCAGGTAGATGAACACAGTGACTACTGCAATGGGATCTTTTGTTCATGGAATTGCTATGAGTTGTACTCGACTCAATGACACCTAACAACAACAACAATACATGCATACACACACACACACAAAAAAAAAAACAAAACACCAAAAACAAACAAACAAACACAACAACGACAACAAAAACCCCACCAGCAAACACATGACCATTAAATCAATTCTGGCTCATTATAACCCTCCGTTGAGTGTCTGAGGCTGTAAATCTTTATGGGGGAGACTGCCCATATTTTACCCACTGAGAGACAGTGGTTTCTAATTGACAACTTTTCAGTAAGCAGCCAGATATATTACATACTATGGCACCAGAGCTCATAAGTTAACAATGATTTTTGCCACATAGTAAATACTCAAAGTATATTCTCCTATATTATAGCTAATGTTAGATGGATCTTGGCTGAAAGGAGAGAGCACTAGAGGATTTTCTGTGTTTCATTGACTATGCAAAGGCATTTGACTTTGTGGTTCACAACAAACTGGCTGACTCTGAGAAGAATGGGAATCCCAGAACACTTCAGTGTGCTTTTGCAAAACCTATACTTGGACCAGGAGGCAGTTGTCACAACAGAGCAAGGAAACACTGCATGGTTCAAAATCAGGAAGGGTGTACACCAGGGATGGGTCCTATCACCATACGTTTTCAATCTACGTGCAGAACAGGTCATCAGGATGTTGGCCTCCATGAGGAGGAATGTGGCATCAGGATTGCAGGAAGATTCATCAACAATCTGCATCATGCAGATGACACAACCCTGCTTGCTGAAACAGAGGAGGACCTGAAGCATTTGCTGATGAAGGTCCATGACTGAAGCCTTCACTATGGATTGAAGCTCAACATCAAGAAAACAAAGTTCCTCACCACTGAGCTGATTGACAGCATTATGATGGAGGATGAAGAGATTGAGATTGTTGACAGCCTCAGTTTGCTTGGCTCTACAATCAACACTTTTAATACCAGCAGCCAGATAATCAAAAGATAAATTGCACTGGAAAAGTCTGTTGTCAAGGACATCTCCAGAGTACTGAATAACAAGGATGTCAGTCTAGAAACTAGAGTGCTCTTGACCCAGGCCATAGTTTTTGCAATTACACGCTATACAACAGATGCTGGACAATGACTAGGAAGATAGGATAATTGACGCCTTTGAGCTGTGGTGCTGGAGAAGAATATAGAATGTACCATGGACTGCTAGGAGAACAACAGGTTAGTCCTAGAGAGAGTGAAACCAGGCTGTTCCTTGGAGGCAAGAATTCTGAAGCTTCATCTGACATACTTTGGACATGTTGCAAAGAGGAACCAATCCTTGCAAAGGGAGATCATGCTTGGGAGGGTGGAGGGACAGCACAAGAGAGGAAGACCCTTGATGAGGTGGATTGGCTCAGTGACTGGGGTAATGGGTTAGGTATGTCAGGGATAATAAAATTGGCATATGATAGAGAAGTGTGCAGGGCTGTTGTACATAGAGTCACTGTAAGTTGCAAGTTACTCAATGGCACATAACAATGACAACATCCACTTTTACATCTAAAAATATATTTGTTGTGGTTGTTATGTGCTGAATTAGAACTAAGTTATAGCTGACCCTGTAGCAGGTTTTCAGAGGCTGTAAATCACATAGGAGATAGCTCATCTTTCTCTATGGGAGCCACTGGTGGATTCAAATCACCTGCTTTAAGTTTGACGGCACAAATTCTTATTCAGCAGCACATAACAACAGCAACAATGTGCTGTTGAGTCAATTTGAACTCATAGTGACCATACAACAGCTTTGAACCCTGCTCTATCTCGATCCAACTTCATCGTCTCTGACACATCTATCCCCATTACCTCAGTTACTGAGTCAATCCATCTCACCCAGGGTCTTCCTCTCTTGCATTGTCCCTCCACTCTTCAAGGCATGATGTCCTCTTCCAAGGATTGGTGCCTCCTGGCAACATGCTCAAAATATGTCAGACCGAACTTCAAAATCCTTGCTTCTAAGAAGCAGCCTGGATCCACCTTCTTCAGTACAGATTTGTTTGTTCTCTTAGCAATCGATGTTATATTCAATATTGTTCTCTAGCACCACAACTAAAAGAAATAAATTCTTCTTCTGTTATCCTTAATCATTGTCCTGCTCTCTGATGCAAAGCAAATAATTGCAAAGACCATGGCCTGGATCAAGTGCACCTTAGTCTCTAGACTGACATCACTGCTCTTCAGTACTCTGAAGAAGTCTCTGACATCAGATTTTCCAGTTCGTCTCTTGATTTCTTGGCTGCTGGTCCCGAGAGTGTTGATTTGGTACTGAGCAAGCTGAAACTGTTAACATTCTTAGTCTCTCCAACATCTATCATGATACTGTCAGTTCGCCCGATGGTAAGAATCTTTGTTTTCTTGATGTTGAGCTTCAGTCCCTATTGAAGGCTGCAGTCCTTAACCTCATGCAGCAAATATGTCAGGTCCTCCTCAGTTTCAGCAAGTAGGGTTGTATCATCTGTGTAG